TTCATCTCATTGCAGTTTTTCCCACACACGATACCTGTGTTGGGAGCCCAAGTATACTTCCGACCTGTGTGTATTTAATTTTTCATTTATTCATGAAATTGCTGCGTGCATGAGCGCAGAGAGCGAGCGAGAGAGCGAGCGGGGGAGCAAGAGAGAGAGAGAGAGAGCGCGAGCAAGAGAGAGGAGAGAGCGCGGGGGGGGGGGTAAATGTTTCAAAAAAGTCATATATAGAAACTATGCTACGAGTATTAAACACATTTGATGAAGCTGCAGCTACTTTTCTCTGCTCCTCTCTGCTGTCATGACTGTGAGCATCGCGGGGGACGAGACACACCAACAAACAGCGCACACACACACACACACACACACACACACACACACACACACGTACACACACACACACACACGCACTGGAGCGCCAGCCACCACGCGAACCTTTTTACTTTTAGTGCTACAGCACACAGTTGATCCGTACGGACCGAGGCGGGAACACGTGACCCGGTCAAACAGTCGGTTGGACTTTACTCCGTTCACTCTCACCGTGTCTGCAGCTAATTTAACAAAAGCAAAATCATCTCACAGCAGCCTGCTGTAGTCTGTAGTCTGCATTATTTTTTACAGAACTCTCATTTATTATTTTCTGTTTGTTGTGTGAGTATTAAATGCGTTTGTAGGCTGTTGGTAACGGCTATGGCTCACTATGTGGACTGGTAGATCTCGGCAGACTGGGAACTTTAAAAGTAGATCTTGGTTCAAAAAAGGTTGGGCACCCCTGCGTTAGTGCATAACTCAACATTGTTCAGTTACGTATAACACGTAAAGCTCACTTCTTCAGTTCATTCCCCGTCCACGAATCCCTCGAATTCTTCTTCTTCAGTGTCCGAATTGAACAGTTGGGCGAGTACGGCATCCAACATGCCCGGCTCCCTCTCGTCATTATCCGAGTCAGTGTCGCTGAGCGCCGTGTACAACCAGTATGGATCAACCAATTAACCAATTGATCCATATATAAGGCGCTCCGGATTATAAGGCGCACTGTCGTTTTTTGAGAAAATTAAAGGCTTTTAAGTGCGCCTTATAGTGCGGAAAATACGGTACATAAGATAAAAATAAATAAAAAACATTGAGCTAAATGCTGAAGTTGTGTTTTTGTTTGCATCTGCTGAAAGTCAAATCTTCACCAGCCAGTCAGAAGATGTAGAAATCTTCACTTGGAAACGAGTTTGATGAGGTCATTTCTAACGTCATCGCTCAAACATGATTTATTTTTCTTTAAAGAGAAGAAACCCTTAAACCAGACCGCCAAAGACCTGGAGGCCAGCGGGACGGTCCCAGACACAGACCAGAATCAGGACCGCTCGTCTGTCTTTGCTGTCTTTAAAAAGGTAAACAACAGATTTTACACAAAGGGGCGCCTAGCGGTGAGTGCGCACACCCCGTGTACAGAGGCTTAAATCCTCGAGAGCGGGCGGACCCGGGTCGACATTCACAGTAAGAATCTTCTGATGGTGAGTCTTTGTGGCACTTCCTGCAGATCTGGCGGATGGCGGCTGTGTGTGACCTTGGTGTTCGCCGTCACTCTGTCGGTGTTTCCTGTGATCACGGTCCGAGTTCAGAGCGTCTACACGGACAACGAAGCGTGGAGTGAGACCACTTACCTTCTTCTTCTTCTTTACTTCTATATCAACAACAGTCCATTTCCCTTTTCAAAATAAAAGCATGAAATAAAGAGAGCTCTCCGTCACAGAAAAAGTCTTCACCTGTGTCTGCTGTTTCATCGTCTTCAACGCCATGGACCTGGTGGGACGCGGCACCCCGTCTCTCGTCCAATGGGTGAGTCTCCTTCCTCTTTGTCTCTCCACTCTCCGTGTCAATGACCCCGACGTCACGGACTGTGTTGGATGTTTTTCCTTGTGCAGCCCTCGCAGGAGAGCGTTCTGTTTCCCGTGGCGGTGGCGTCTCGTCTGGTTTTCATCCCTCTGCTGATGCTGTGTAACGTCCACAACTCCAAGCTCCCCGTCCTCTTCAGTCACGACGTCGCCTTCGTCATCATCATGGCGCTGTTCTCCTTCTCTAACGGATACTTGGCGTCCCTCTGCATGGCCTACGCTCCACAGTGAGTCCTCAACCACCAGTTGTTGTTACGAATGAAAACGGGGATACGAGCAGAAACGTGTGTGTGTGTGTGTGTGTTGTGTGTGTGTCTGTGTGTGTGTGTGTGTGTGTGTCTCTGTGTGTCTCTGTGTGTGTGTGTGTGTGTGTGTGTGTGTGTGTTGCTGTGTGTGTGTGTGTGTGTGTGTCTCTGTGTGTCTCTGTGTGTCTCTGTGTGTGTGTGTGTGTGTGTGTGTGTGTGTGTGTGTGTCTGTCTGTGTGTGTGTGTGTGTGTGTGTCTCTGTGTGTCTCTGTGTGTGTGTGTGTGTGTTGCTGTAGGTTGGTGCGGTGCAGAGACTGCGAGACAGCTGGCTCCCTGATGACCTTCTTCCTGGTTCTGGGTCTGGCACTGGGAGCTGGATCCTCCTTCTTTCTGGGGATGCTGGTCTAAAAAAAAAAAAAACTCTGGTGCTGAAGATGAAGAAAATAAAACGTGATAACGGGGAGTCAACGTGTGACATCACAGCCACAGAGCTCTCCCATTGGCTCTTTACGGGTTTACACATTTACAGAGACAGCGCACTGAAATCTTTAAACTAATGGTGCGTTCCATTTCATCTCGGAGGTCTGACACGATATCAGGAACAAGAAAACTCTCAAACCTCTGTTAGCTCGAGTTAAAATCCAACATGGCTGCTCAGTGTTTAATCTGTAACGGTACGTTTACTTTCTCTTTTACTCGAATTAAATCGACCACACCGTGGTGACAGTTACATCTGTACGTGTGATGTCATCGTCTGGTGTTAGCTTACAAACTAAAGGAACTCCTGGAGGCATTACCTTCCTCATCCCCGCTCAGAGGCCTGATTTCCGAGGTGAATTGAACGCACCATTTGCGTCGTATTCTGTTTTTGTTTATCGCTGACCTGTGTTTACGTTTGTATTTATATATTTTTTTAAACTTGTTTTTATTCAGGGATTTTGAACAAGCATCTTTTATTTGTAATGAATGTGTTTCTTATTAAAAAGTTTTACGATGTGTTTTGTTTGGATCTTTTTTTTCTCTGTTCTTTATTTTATAGACGAGACCGAGACAAGACAGAGACAGAGAGGAGAGCACGCGCACGTCGAGCTGTCTCCTCTTCTCTCCAGCTCGGCTCTTTTCCTTTAAACTCATGACCTCCGGCTTCCTTCCATTCTTCTTCTCTGAAAAGGAAAGTTAAAGCCAGACGACGAGGCGTTTCACTCGTTTGTAAATCAGATTAAAGTAGACCTACAGAGAGAGAGAGAGAGAGACACACAGAGAGAGAGAGACAGAGAGAGAGAGAGACAGAGAGAGAGACAGAGAGAGAGACAGAGAGAGAGAGAGAGAGAGACACAGAGAGAGAGACAGACAGAGAGAGAGACAGAGAGAGAGACAGAGAGAGAGAGAGACACAGAGAGAGAGACAGAGAGAGAGAGAGAGACAGAGAGAGAGAGAGAGAGAGAGCGACAGAGAGAGACAGAGAGACACAGAGAGAGACACAGAGAGACACAGAGAGATAGAGAGAGACAGACAGAGAGACATACACAGAGAGAGAGAGAGACAGACAGAGACATAGAGAGAGACACAGAGAGAGAGAGACAGAGAGAGAGAGACACATAGAGAGAGAGAGAGACATACAGAGAGAGAGACACAGAGAGAGAGAGACACATAGAGAGAGAGAGAGACATACAGAGAGAGAGAGAGACACAGAGAGAGAGAGACACATAGAGAGAGAGAGAGAGAGTTTCTGATGAGGCTGAGGTCATTCTTAACTTTGATCTGTCAACAAACCATGAAAAGAGATAAGGGCCCTTTCTGAATATCCACAGTTCAGTAGTCAGTCCTTTTCAGGAGGAGTTTCAGTGTACTGAAATCTGAGGGCAGGCGTGAGGCTCTGAAGAAGACGTGAAACTAATAAAAATGAACAAATAAATAAGATGAGAAGAACATTTTATCACACACTTTTTATGACAGATTGTTCCCCTGCTGGACATTAGAGAGAATGCAGCTTTAAGGACATTTAAAGGGACATCTTATAAAAATCCACTTCTTCAGTGTTTCTGAACATATATTTTGGTAACCTGAGAGTCTACAGACCCACAACATGTGAAATAAACTATCCAGTCCTTTGTTTGTGGTCTGCATAAGTCTTACAACACAGAGAAAAATGCTCCGTTTAAATTTGCTCTCCTTGTGATGTCACAGTGGGATTCTGGTAAAAAAATAAATCCCCTCCCCTCCCCTGATATCTCCACCCATGGACTCCACCCCCAGCCTAGAACAAAACTTTTTCACAGGTCCCCCATTTTTATTCTCTCTACAGAGGAGTGATGTCTACAGGGAAAACTCAGGGGGGGGTCATTACATTTAAAGAGACACACACACCAAAACGGAGCGTTCTTTGAGAGCTGGTTTCTACAGGGTCACAAACCTCCTCTGGTGCTTGATTCATGTTATATTTTGACCAAAGCACAGCACAGATGTTTCATTTAGACCACAGGGGGACTGTTTGAAAAGGTGGAGGAGGACTGTTTGAAAAGGTGGAGGGGACTGTTTGAAAAGGTGGAGGAAGGGGACTGTTTGAAAAGGTGGAGGAGGGGACTGTTTGAAAAGGTGGAGGAAGGGGACTGTTTGAAAAGGTGGAGGAGGACTGTTTGAAAAGATGGAGGAGGGGACTGTTTGAAAAGGTGGAGGAGGACTGTTTGAAAAGGTGGAGGAGGGGGACTGTTTGAAAAGGTGGAGGAGGGGACTGTTTGAAAAGGTGGTGGAGGAGGACTGTTTGAAAAGGTGGAGGGGGACTGTTTGGAAAGGTGGAGGAGGGGACTGTTTGGAAAGATGGAGGAGGGGACTGTTTGAAAAGGTGGAGGAGGACTGTTTGGAAAGATGGAGGAGGACTATTTGAAAAGATGGAGGAGGACTGTTTGAAAAGGTGGAGGAGGAGACTGTTTGAAAAGGTGGAGGAGGGGACTGTTTGAAAAGGTGGAGGAGGACTGTTTGAAAAGGTGGAGGAGGACTGTTTGAAAAGATGGAGGAGGACTATTTGAAAAGATGGAGGAGGACTGTTTGAAAAGGTGGAGGAGGACTGTTTGAAAAGGTGGAGGAGGACTGTTTGAAAAGGTGGAGGAGGAGACTGTTTGAAAAGGTGGAGGAGGACTGTTTGAAAAGGTGGAGGAGGACTGTTTGAAAAGGTGGAGGAGGGGACTGTTTGAAAAGGTGGAGGAGGACTGTTTGAAAAGGTGGAGGAGGACTGTTTGAAAAGGTGGAGGAGGGACTGTTTGAAAAGGTGGAGGAGGGGACTGTTTGAAAAGGTGGAGGAGGAGGATCATATGTCCTCTTTAATTTGTCCAGCAGTTGATTTAAAAAGATTCAAGTGAAGGAAACCAGGACAGAATAAACACTCAGTGCTCTCTTCTGTCACACAAACAGGTGGAGGCTCTGCTTGTTTTTACACCTCAGTCAGATTTGTAGACCTGATGTAAAGTTTAAATGTTCTTAAAGAACCTTTAAAGGTTCTTAAAGCACCTTTAAAGGTTCTTAATGCATTCTTTAAAAGTTCTTTAAAAGTTCTTTAAAAGTGTATTTTAGTCTGTTGTGAGAAAACCTCAGAGGAGGAATATTTGGTGTTTTGCCTTCAGTTACAGTCGCACAATAAGCTCTCTTGTTGTTGACCTGAGAGAGAGAGGCATGCAGGGAGCTGTGTGTGTGTGTGTGTGTGTGTGTGTGTGTGTGTGTGTGTGTGTGCGTGCGTGCGTGCGTGTGTGTGTAATGAACCAGGTTAGAGCTGTGACGTCAGCAGGGACTCGCTCGACAGGAGACGTTTGAAGCAGACGAACTGGACGTGCGGCTCATTTCCCTGGAATTTGTTTCTCAGAGGAACAACATGGCTGAAACACACAGGAAGGTGAGCTCTCACACACACACACACACACACACACACACACACACACACACACACACACACACACACACACACACACACACACACACACACACACCTGAGCGGGCAGGTTACAGATAGGTTATTAACCAGAGAGAGGGGGGAACCTGATCCGTCTGATAAACGTTTCAGCTCGACATGTCAGGAAAACTTTGGGCCGAAAACTTTTTTTTCAACTTTCAGTGAAACAACAGCACTTCCTGTTTGTTTAACAAAATAAAGCTGACTTCATCTGTACGCTGCAGCAACAACAGATACAGTGTGTGTGTGTGTGTGTGTGTGTGTGTTTGTTTACTCACAAAAACGCTCTTCTGTTTCCGGTTTCGGTGTGTGTGTGTGTGTGTGTGTGTGTGTGTGTGTGTGTGTGTGTGTGTGTGTGTGTGTGTGTGTGTGTGTGTGTGTGCACGAGTCTACTGATGTTTTCCTTGTTCATGGTCGTAGAAGAAGAATTGAAACAATAAAATAATGAACTCTGTGAAGAGGAAGTTTAAAATAAAAATAGAGAATCAACAACGATCTGTGTGAACATTTTTCACATTCTATGAATTCCCGGTGCTTTTATTTTGAAGGCTCATTGATTTTCGTTCTTCTGACGCATCACGTGGTGCTGATGACAGGTCATGTGACGTCACGCTGTGGGTTTACTTTGAAAGATGTTATTGTTTTTATTTACAATAGAAAACTCCCTCCTCCTCGCTCATTTAAACAAAGACAGAAAACGTTCCAGGACAGTGGATAGAGTCAGAAGTCTTAAAGAGAGAGAGCGGGGAATGACATGTGGCAATCCAAAGGTCGGATTCAAACCAGGGCCGTCCGCTTTAAGGACTATGGCCCCTCTCAAGGCTGCCGGCGCCCCCAAACTGAATCAGCTGACAGCTTCATTTTGTGCAGGTTAGAGATCAAGTTGACTCACTTTGTGTTTCCTCTTTCAGAAATGGGTTTTCCCTCAAAGACCGGCGACTGAAGGAAACAGAGGCTCGGAGAGAGACGCTCACAGAAGTCTGGTAACATTTCCCCTGAAATCACAAAGACGAGAACAGACGATAACGCTGAAGAATAAACATTTCTCAGATTAAAACACTGAAGTGAAAACTAAAAACACAGCCAAAAGACTTATCAACTTACATCAAGAAAAAATGTTCAGCAAATTCAGAATCACGTGCAGAAGTCCAGAAAACTAAGACGACTGAATTACGCTGCAAAAAAGATGAAACACCTGGAAACCTGCTGCAGATTCATAAACGATTCAAAAACAGACAAATTCAGAAAACAATGTTGCAAAGCCGTCTGTCCTGAACAGAAGTGCTCCAGGCCTGTAGGGGGCGCTCTGAGAGGGAAGTTAACACAGATGTTGCAGCTGTTTGCAGCATCTTTTTCGAGCGAGATTCAGTCGTTTATTTTGTTCTGGACTTTTGAATTTGCATCTTTGGTGCATGTGTGGAAAGTTTTTCTCTTAAGTAAGTCCAAGCGTTGACCCTCACAGGCCACCGTAGTTTGATTTTCAAAACAAAACAAAATATGTTGTCATGTTTTTATTTTTGTTTTTAACAATGAAACTGTGTGTGTGTGTGTGTGTGTGTGTGTGTGTGTGTGTGTGTGTGTGTGTGTGTGTGTGTGTGTGTGTGTGTGTGTGTGTGTGTGTGTGTGTGTGTGTGTGTGTGTGTGTGTGTAGGCGGTTCCCTTCAGAGGTCACATCAGCGGTGGGATGTGTCCGGGGAAGAAGGTGGTGCTAGTGGGCGTGGTCGCATCCCGTCCTGACAGGTGAAAACAATTTCCTGTTACATTACGTTTTCTTTCCTCCTCCGCTCAGGATCGATCATATCGATAATCTTTCCTTTTTATTTTTGTCTTTGCATTCCTCCAAATGAACTCAAACTAGGATCAATATTGGAGATGCTTTTGAAAAATGGAGAGAGGTTAGAACACAGAAAGGTTTACAGACCCATGCAGAGCTGGATAAACACTGAAGCTTCAGAGTCCACCACATGGTGACCTGAGTGAGGGGGGGGGGGGGGACAGCTCTATATGATGTTTAGAATCTGGACTGCAGTACACATTTTAAACACTAGGTGTCAGAGTTACATACTGCTCCTTTAATGAAAACATTTACCTGAAAGCTTTAATGACCTTATTAAAAGAATATGATGATTTATAATCAGTGAGTGTCGTCATGGTTTCCGCTGGTCTTTGCTCCTCCTTCAGGTTTTATGTAGCTCTGACGTGTGGGCGCGGGGCAGCCGGGGAGCCCCCCCCCGACGTGGCCCTGGAGCTGTGCGTACGCTTCAGGGACAGACAGGTCCTGAGGAGAGCCTGTGTGGGGGGGGCGTGGGGGGACATGGACAGAGCCCTGCCTTTCTTCCCCTTCATCAGAGACCAGCCCTTCAAGGTACAACAACAGGTGTTATAGGTTCGGGGGGGGGTCTCTGTCAGATGTCTAACCCTCTTCCTGTGTCCCGTCTCTCAGATGGAGCTTCACTGTGAACACGCTCGCTTCCGAGTGTTTGTGGACGGACAGAAGCTGTTTGATTTCTCCCACAGACTGACGTCACTCGAAGGAATCGACACGTTGTGGATCAAAGGCAGCCTCACCATCAATAAACTGGCATAAAAAGCACTGGTGAACACCCAGAGCTGCTCTCCAGCTCTGGGAGAAGAGAGTCTATGTAAGAGGTTTCAGCGTCTTGAAGCCATCTGCTGGAATTCTTGGTTTCATATCTGGGAACTATGGCATGATTTACAGAACGAGCTGTTTAGCGCCCTCTGCAGGCTCGTCCTGTGATTACTCCAACATACGTTTACCTCATGATCTGAATCTTTGCCCATGTTTAGTTTTGGGCGTCCAGCTTTGTAACACTTTATGTGACTTAGGTCGACTTTAACCCGAAACCGCCATGACAGTAAGAGAGGGAACCATGACGTTCATATTCTGAGACGCTGCCTACGTACTCGTGCAGTACAGACAGAGTTCAGGAGTTTGGCATTGCATTTTTTAATTCATTAAAAACATGAATTTATCCAATACTGGGTGCTTCTGTTTGTGTTGCTGTGATATTGAAACAGGTATTAATGTTGCTGTTTTTTTTAACGCTTTGGCAGCTGACAAAAACTCTCAGGAAATGTTTTACAGTAACCTCTGCTGATCTGCGTGTTTATGACTCGAGTGCAGCGCCGTTACTGACTCTAACCACGCTTTACTTTTCTGTAATCACGTTCACACTATAGAGCCCGACCGATTTATCAGCCAGCCGATAATATCGCCCGATATCAGCTTATCCAAGGACTATTGTTATCGGCTAATTTTTATCTCACATATGCGCCGATATCACTCAAATATAATTTAATTTGACTTTCATTGTATGACACTAGCAGTTCTCTGTCACCAGCAGAGGGCGCTATATGGATTACAACGAGCATCATCACTCTGCAGAGTGTGGAACGGTGATACACGTACATGCTCAGTTACTTTCCAGCTGAGTGACCATCTTGTCTTCATTATAAATCTTTGTGTTTGATAACTGAGGGATCAACACAGTAAATGTGTTTATTTATATCTACAGATTTCATAGAGCTAAAAAAAGATATCTGTATCAGAATGATTCTCTCTGTGATGTCGATATCGGCCCTCATTCATATGATGCTTTATGGTATGTTTGTAATTGAAGTTGATGGATGTGTTGACTTTTTGAACTTTCATTTTACTCACAGAACTTTTTATATTCTTACATTTGATGTCTTTATTAGCTAATCATGACATTTGGTTCTCTCATTTGTCGATGGATCGTCGTATATGAAGGTTTATCAGTGAATGTTCATTAACTGCTCCGGCCTTTATCCTGTAAAGAAACCATGCAAATACATCCTCTGTATATGATTGATTCTTTTTAAGGGCTGTAAAATGTTTTTCAATCTTGGTTAATCACGATTCCATTATTTTGCATTTTCAAAATAAAACTAATTTAAAAACTTTATTTGAATGTTTGTACTGTCTTAAGCTGAGAGTACTTTAATTGCTGTGTGCTTTTATTTTGAAATAAAGTAAGGCCCTTCCTGTAGAGTGAAGGTTAGGACATGAAGTTAAGCACAGAAACAGGAAGTGGTTAGGGATCCCAAAGTGAGGTCAAACAGCTCAAAGGAACGGTAACAAAGGTCAATGTGTGATGTCATAAGGTCAATGTGTGATGTCATAAGGTCAGTGTGTGATGTCATCAGGTCAATGTGTGATGTCATGAGGTCAATGTGTGATGTCATAAGGTCAATGTGTGATGTCATAAGGTCAATGTGTGATGTCATAAGGTCAGTGTGTGATGTCATAAGGTCAATGTGTGATGTCATAAGGTGGATATTACTGTCTGAGAGTTTGTTAAAGTGAAATGAGACATTCAAAGATGCAGCAGTGTACTTCTTCTACATCACTGAGACTAAAGGGAGACACTGAGGACCACTATCTACGGTGCAGCTACAGCATTGGTAGACCCTCTGGTCACTTCCTGTCAGCACCTCTGGTCACTTCCTGTCAGCACCTGTGTGTCTGATCAGACTCAAAGCTGTTCGTTTACACTTCTAGATGTTGTTTGACTCTCTGATGAATCATAGAATTGTAGAATCGGTAATGATATCATGTTTTCACAAAAGTTCAAGCAAAGTAATAATGTGTTTATCATTAATGACTTAAGGGGAAGGAGTGAAGTTACAAGTCTTCTGTTTTGACGTTGTCTTTGGTTTACGCTTTTAATTGTCTGTTCATTTAATCAACACAGGAACGCTGGATAGTTTATTTTTCATTTCATGGTTTAAACTCCGAATGCTGGAAAATAAATGTCAAAATTAAAACCAGTATTTCCAGAGGCCCTGATTCTCCTCCGTACTAAACCAGTGTAAACCGGTGTAAATAGGTGTAAACCGGTGTAAACAGGTGTAAACCGGTGTAAACATGGGTAAACCGGTATAAACAGGTGTAAACCGGTGTAAACAGGTGTAAACAGGTGCAAACAGGTGTAAACAGGTGTAAACATGTGTAAACCGATGTAAATAGGTGTAAACAGGTGTAAACATGTGTAAACAGGTGCAAACAGGTGTAAACATGTGTAAACCAATGTTAACAGGTGTAAACCGGTGTAAACAGGTGTAAACAGGTGTAAACCGGTGTAAACCGGTGTAAACAGGTGTAAACCGATGTAAACCGGTGTAAACAGGTGTAAACAGGTGTAAACCGGTGTAAACAGGTAAACCGGTGTAAACAGGTGTAAACAGGTGTAAACCGGTGTAAACAGGTGTAAACCGGTGTAAACATGTGTAAACCGATGTAAACAGGTGTAAACCGGTGTAAACAGGTGTAAACAGTGTAAACGGTGTAAACAGGTGTAAACCGGTGTAAACATGTGTAAACAGGTGTAAACAGGTGTAAACCGGTGTAAACAGGTGTAAACAGGTGCAAACAGGTGTAAACCGGTGTAAACAGGTGTAAACATGTAAATGTGTAAACCGGTGTAAACAGGTGTAAACATGGTGTAAACATGTGTAAACAGGTGTAAACCGGTGTAAACCGGTGTAAACAGGTGTAAACAAGTGTAAACAGGTGTAAACCGGTGTAAACAGGTGTAAACAGGTGTAAACATGTGTAAACAGGTGTAAACAGGTGTAAACCGGTGTAAACAGGTGTAAACAGGTGTAAACCGGTGTAAACATGTGTAAACAGTGTAAACAGGTGTAAACCGGTGTAAACAGGTGTAAACATGTAAACCGGTGTAAACAGGTGTAAACAATGTAAACAGGTGTAAACAGGTGTAAACAGGTGTAAACAGGTGTAAACAGGTGTAAACCGGTGTAAACCGGTGTAAACAGGTGTAAACCGATGTAAACCGGTGTAAACCGGTGTAAACCGATGTAAACCGATGTACCTGTTAACATGGAAAGTTTCGGAGCAACCAGCCGACCTGCCTCAGCCGCGGTGCATGCTGGGAGACTGAGGCAGCGGAGCAGCAGCAGCAGCAGCAGCCGGCTGACTTCACCTCTCGGTGCTCCGCCGGATTAATGTGTCAGGAGGACAGCTCTGCCTTTAACCGAGTCATGGAAACCTGTGGACAACATCTCACGGTGAGCTCACCTGTCCCTTTACGTCACTAAAGACACCTGCTGTCAGAGCGAGCCGCCGGGATGACCAGGACGAGCTAATGCTAAAGCTAACGGGAAGCTGCTTGTTGTTGACGTTAGCTAGCTGCGTAGTTAGCTCAGCTAGTTCACTTCTCATTTACCTTAATCTTAATCTTAACCTTAATCTACCTGAGATTAACATATATGAGAGCTGAAAAAGAATAGAGACGAATCCTCAAAGTGTCAACAAACCTCCAGGTGACTCGGTTAAATTAGCTCTGCTTTTAGCTTCCCTACAGAAGCTAACGATGCTAAGCAGAGTTAGCTTGTGTTTCACTGTCGGCCTGTCAGACTAACTGGATGAATCTAACGTCAGCTGTTAGCATCATGTCACAGCAACATCAGGCAGGTCGTGTTCTGTTCTGCTTCAAACGGGGCTGTTAAGTTTCCTCTAAGTTTTAACCTGCCATTTAGCTGCGTTAGCCTGTTAGCTTCCCTTTAGCATGACAGGAGAGCTAAAGGTGTTCAACTCTTTAACCAGCACAGCAGAGATGAGGAGGTAAAGGTGCAAACAGACGTCGTAAAGGGATACCTGTGTCATCACGGTGTTGATATCAGATAGTAGATTTATAAATAATGTTAATGTTAGTTTCTGCAGTTAATAATTCAGTTTAATAACGTTAAACAAATGACAGTAACTCTAAATCTCAGGATGTGAAAAACTCAAACTGGGATTATCAGCCTTCTACATTCACTCAGCAGACACTTTTATCCAAGCGACGTACATCAGAGAGTAAGAACAACACAAGCAAGGATCTAGAAAAAAGGGAACAATGTGAGTAAGAGCAAACGATCAGCTTTGAGTCTGATTGGACACACAGGTGCTGACAGGAAGTGACCAGAGGCAAAGCACAACATTGAGGGCAGTTCTTGAGAGCTCTAATCAGTATAGAAACCATCTTATAAGTCGTCGTTATCAAACAAAAACCATCGTCATTACCATCATCATCATCAATAATATGGAGACCATCATCATTAAGTTAGTAGGTATTCATGAAAGAGCTGGGTCTTTAGCTTTTTCTTAAAGGTGCAGAGGGACTCTGCAGATCACATGGAGTTTGGAAGTTCATTCCACCACCGGGGGGCGACAGAGGAGAAGAGTCTAGTCAGTGTCTTAGGACCCTGTTGTGAAGGTTGGATCAGACGCCTTTCATTGGCAGAGCGTAGTGGGCGGTAGCCTTCACACAACAGCGATGAACTAAAGCCGCCGCTCTAGTCAATAATTGTGCTTCCACAGTGAGCGACCAGCTGATTATGTCGGCTGATGTTATCTTTTTCAGGGAGTATCGTATCGGCTAATTTAGTCGTAGATTTGCGCAAATATTTCTCGATTGAAGTCACACTAGCACTCTACTTTCTGGCTGTCAGCAGCAGCGTTTACGCTCAGTTTCTCTCCGGTTGAGTGACCATCTTGTCTTCATTATAAATCTTGTCTTCAAGTGTTTGATAACTGCATCTGAGGGATCGACACAATAAATGTGTTTATCTAAATCTATCTCTACAGATGGAACATAAATCTAAGAAAGATATCGGCCGATGTATCGGATCATTTTCCTCGGGCATCGCCCCGATAATCCCATATCGGTCGGGCCCTAGTTTTGTTAAGAAACAATCTTTTATTTTGAAGATCAATAGTATCAGAAAAGTACAGAAGCGGGGCTCCTGTAGCCTAGTGGTTGCGCAGCCCTTGTACAGAGGCTGTAGTCCTCATTGCAGCAGCTGTGGGTTCGGTTCCAGCACCCCACATCACATCCGTTCTCTCTCCTCCCAGCGTTTCCTGTTTCTCTTCAACTGTCCTCTTTAATAAATGGCCCAAAATATTTCTTTAAAAAAAGATGAGTCCAAAAGCTGTAGAATTGTACGTCTATATCATAAGACAGGTGAGTAGGAGAGGCATCATAACAAAGTTTAATATTCAACCCTCTTACACAAGGAAAAGAGTGTTCTTAAAGACATTTCCCTTCATCACAGTTAACTGGTCTTTCTGGACTTGCTCGGCTGGAAACTACCTGCTCCCAGGTATTCAGGGAAATAAGGCCGACAAGGCAAACACACGTTTCAGACACCACCCATCGTTCTGCTTGGACGGGGAGCGTGAAAACAAGCGTCTCAAGGAAGCGTGATTTGCATTTCAGAAACTTGAGGTTAACACTTAGTTTGCAGGATTGACCTCCTGAGAAATATGGAACTGCAGGATTTTGCACTTCTGCATCGGACTCATTTTTCAAGACCGGAGGTTGCCCCTTATGTCGCCGTCATGTCGCCCTTATGTCGCCCTTATGTCGCCGTCATGTCGCCCTTATGTTGCTGTCATGTCGCTGTCATGTCGCCCTTATGTCGCCGTCATGGCGCCCTTATGTCGCCCTTATGTCGCCCTTATGTCGCCGTCATGGCGCCCTCATGTCGCCCTCATGTCGCCCTCATGTCGCCCTTATGTCGCCCTCATGTCGCCCTCATGTCGCCCTCATGTCGCCCTCATGTCGCCCTCATGTCGCTGTCATGTCACCCTCATGTCGCTGTCATGTCACCCTCATGTCACCGTCATGTTCCTCTCATGTCACCCTCATGTCGCTGTCATGTCACCCTCATGTCGCCGTCATGTCACCCTCATGTCGCCGTCATGTCACCCTCATGTCGCTGTCATGCCGCCCTCATGTCGCTGTCATGTCGCCCTCATGTTGCCCTCATGTCGCCCTCATGTCGCTGTCATGTCACCCTCATGTCACCCTCATGTCGCTGTCATGTCGCCCTCATGTCGCCCTCATGTCGCCCTCATGTCGCCCTCATGTCGCCCTCATGTCGCCCTCATGTCGCCCTCATGTCGCCCTCATGTCGCCCTCATGTCGCCTCATGTCACCCTCATGTCCTCTCATGTCACCCTCATGTCGCCGTCATGTCACCCTCATGTCGCCGTCATGTCACCCTCATGTCGCCGTCATGTCACCCTCATGTCGCCGTCATGTCACCCTCATGTCGCCGTCATGTCGCCCTCATGTCGCCCTCATGTCGCCCTCATGTCGCCCTCATGTCGCCCTCATGTCCCTCATGTTGCCCTCATGTCGCCCTCATGTTGCCCTCATGTAGCCCTCATATCGCCAAGGCTCAGACCGATGTGAGTCAAGTCGCCCTCATGTCGCCCTTATGTCGCCCTCATGTCGCCCTCATGTCGCTGTCATGTCACCCTCATGTCGCTGTCATGTCACCCTCATGTCACCGTCATGTTCCTCTCATGTCACCCTCATGTCGCTGTCATGTCACCCTCATGTCGCCGTCATGTCACCCTCATGTCGCTGTCATGTCGCCCTCATGTCGCTGTCATGCCGCCCTCATGTCGCTGTCATGTCGCCCTCATGTCGCTGTCATGTCACCTCATGTCGCTGTCATGTCACCCTCATGTCGCCGTCATGTCACCCTCATGTCGCTGTCATGCCGCCCTCATGTCGCTGTCATGTCGCCCTCATGTTGCCCTCATGTCGCCCTCATGTCGCTGTCATGTCACCTCATGTCACCCTCATGTCGCTGTCATGTCGCCCTCATGTCGCCCTCATGTCGCCCTCATGTCGCCCTCATGTCACCCTCATGTCGCCGTCATGTCACCCTCATGTCACCCTCATGTCGCTGTCATGTCACCCTCATGTCACCCTCATGTCGCTGTCATGTCACCCTCATGTCACCCTCATGTCGCTGTCATGTCACCCTCATGTCGCCGCCATGTCACCCTCATGTCGCTGTCATGTCGCCCTCATGTCGCTGTCTTGTCGCCGTCATGTCGCCCTCATGTCGCCCTCATGTCGCCCTCATGTTGCCCTCATGTTGCCCTCATGTAGCCCTCATGTCGCCCTCATGTCGCCCTCATGTCGCCCTCATGTCGCCCTCATGTCGCCCTCATGTCGCCCTCATGTCGCCCTCATGTCGCCCTCATGTTGCCCTCATGTTGCCCTCATGTAGCCCTCATATCGCCAAGGCTCAGACCGATGTGAGTCAACAAATGTTTAAGGGCTCTTAATCAATGTTTCTGTCACATTTAGAATAATCTCTGTACTTGGCTCCTCATTATCTCCCTGTTACTGTCAGTTTGACGCCAATCCGTCTCTTTTTAGTGCCTCTGTAATTTGATTTCTGCTGCGGCTCAAACCACACATGAATCTAATTGGTCCCTGAGCACCAATAAGAGCAGCTCTTATTAACTTCTTGTGTTCATGTAGCCAGACTGAGGCTAAAAGGTGCATTCTGATGGATTTGAACCTGTGGTTTTCACTGTTTGAAATCTGAAAGAGTTTAGCAAACAGCTTGAGCCTGTAGAGGAGAAACCAGCTGTGAAGCCGTTTCTCATGAAGAGTAACACAGAAACAGGCGCTACCTTAATGTTTTCAAATCCCTCAGACTCCATTAAAAAAAAAATAAGAGAATTGAATCTAAGATCACAGGAGTTCCTGTTTACCACTTCCTTCTTTGGTTAGTTTTTATTGACATTGTGTGTTATGTAATGGGGGCGGATCTGAACAAACCCTTTGACTCACAGACTCGGGCAGCAGAGGACCAGTAACTCCCCAGTAACTCCCCAGTAACTCCCTCGTTTCTGCTGGTTTTGAGAAGAGCGATGTAACAGCTGTTTGTGGTTCCATAAAATCATCTTCCTCTTTGACAAAAAGGTCTTTCACTGCAGCACTCACACTCAGCCCAGTCGTCCCGTACCGTGCTGAACCATAGTCCCCCCGTCCCCCCCCCCCCCCCCGTCCCCCCTGCACTCACACTGCTCCAGGACTAACCGGGCCCGAGCACGGTTACCTCTTGTAACCTACATAACGTCCCAATACAGCACACATGGCTACTGTGACATCATGACAGATCTTCTGGAGGAATTCAAAAAGAGTTTGAATCGACTTTTTATTAACGCTATGAACCGTGTTAGTCTGGAGTAAACATCTTCCATGTATATTTCTTCTGTCTGATTATTCGTCTCTGTTTGCTCTCTCAGGTGTAGGCAAGAGGACTCGTTGATTGCCAGAGCGCCATGGAACCAGATGTCATCCGCATATACTCGTCCTCTCCGCCCCCGATGGAGGACGGAGCAGAGGAAGAGGAAAATGACTTTGGAGACTTCGGCACCTTCTCCAGCGTCCCCGCCAGCATCAGCTTCACAGAGTTCGACACCCCGACGACTTTCAACCAGACACAGGCTTTGAACGCCACGTCCCCGCCCGAGCTCATCAACAACAGAGGGGTGGTAGCGTTCAGTCACAGCTCGTCCAACGGCACCCACAGCCCCAATATCGACCTGTCAAAGGCTAATGGCGTTGTGCCGTCAGGCCACCTGGACAGCTGTCCCTCAGAAAGAACTGAGATGAAAAAAGTCCTCTCTAGCTCTCTGGATTTCTCAGTGAGCGGGACAGCTGGCGGCGAGCCCGCTGACTGCAACGGCGGCGGCACAGAGGTGCTAACAAACGGGTTTGCATCCCTGGACGTTCAGGGAAGTCCTTCCTCGCAGAATTCTGTCCACTCACTCATAATAGGAACGTCCACTGGGGACAATGGCAGCATCCCCGTCGAGAGCCCAGAGGATGATTTTGCAGACTTTGCTGCTTTTTCAGATGCTGAAGCACACCTGAGCCAGACTGCTAACGAGGACTTGGACAACCCCACAGAGGGCAGCTGGTCGGCGGAGGAACACTGTAATATAAGACAGGGAACGACCTCAGAGGACAATGTCAGGGACACAAACAGAACTGGCTCTGATTCCTTATCTGTCCCCGCTGAGGCTCCGGACCGGGGCTCGCACACAGACGCTGACTCTCAACAAAGGGACGTAGCCTTTGCCTCAGAGGCAGTTTGCACTAACACACCCCTCGCTCTGAACGGGGTGGCTGTAGCTGACGGGGACGATTCCAAAGACGCTGCTGGCTGCTGTGAAAATAACCTCTCACCGGACGCAGATGGCGAGGCGGGGCAGCCGGACTGGAAGGGCTCCGGTAACGAGACCGAGACAGAAACCGAGACAGAGACTTCGTTTGGTCGGCCGTTGTCCACAGACGCTCTGGAGGAGTATGGAGACATGAGCACTACGGGCTCCGTGCCCTCGCCGCTCCCCCAAGGGGAGACTGCCACACCTGCAGACCACAGCCAGCTGGCCGAGGACGACATGGACGAGGACTTTGGGGATTTCGGAGACGCCGGCTCGTTCAGTGGTCAGGGTTTTGCAGATTTTGATCAGCTGGAAGCCCAGGAGGAGCCGAGCAAGTCTCACAGCCCCGCCCCTGCACAGGAAGCCGTGGACGCTGCGGACGATGACGACTTTGGCGACTTCGACTCCTCGAAATTCCACACAGGTGGAAACGAGGCGGAGGATGGAGGAACATTTGCAGACTTTCCCGTCAGTGACAGTTTTGGGAATTTCAGCTCAGCGACAGATGGAGCAGACGATGGGGGGGACGCAGGGTGGAGCGCCTTCGGGGAGCAGCAGCAGCAGGTGGAGGGGGAGTCCTGGGCGGCGTTCAGCACAGAGCCGAGTGACGCTCCTCCTGCAGACAGCGGAGAGGAGGAACAGGAGGAGGAGGAGGAGGAGGAGGAGGAGGAGTGGCATCAAAGTGTATCTCCTGCAGTCAGCAACGAAGCCAGCAGGACAGACGAACAGTCGGTGAGCATGATGGGAAATGAACTGGTGACACTGGGAAACGTTATGCATGCAGAGTTAATGGACCCATATGTCATCGTTTCAGGGTCGTTTTTAATTTATTTCTAAAGAGCTTAATAGGACAGGAAGAGTTTGAAGAAGGCCGATTATGATCTCATAGGTCATAGAAACATACGCTGATGCTTATAAATATGCAGCTCAGGTCAGAGACAGTCAGGTTATTTATGTTTACCTCAAATAAGACCATACGTCTAAAAACATCCCACTCCCACCTGACAGCCACCCACAGTATCTGAGAAGAAAATGAGCAGAACCAGGAGCAACACTAAAAAGTTCTGCTGTTCTCAAAATGAAAAGGTTACACCTTTAAAATCCTCTTCTCCATGTTCCTCTAACTCTAACATGTGTCTCTAGTCCGTCTACAAACCCCCCAATGATGAGAAAAGTCCATCCTCTCTGTCTTCTGCCTGCTCCACTTTTCAGAAAATGTGTGTTCAAACAGGCCGTTTGGAGGCTTTCCCTTCATGACATCACAAAGGGCAGTAGCCCCTCCCCCAGGTGGGTGACACTCCCACAGCTAGGTGTTTGTTCTGCCCTCTGAGTCTGCCTTCTCACCGTAAACAATAGGACATGGAGCGAGAAAGCACAGAGTACACCCAAGCCCTTCCAGAGAGGGGGCGTGGTCAGACACAGCTCATTTACATATTTAAAGGTACAGACACAGAAACAGCCTGTTCTGAGCAGGGCTGAAATAGAGGGGTTTATAGACATGATCAAATACAGGATCAGAGTGGATTTAGAACAAGAAACTTCACACACATGTTTTGAGGAGCTCTGACACTTATTTAAACTGAAGAAGAAGAGGAGGATATGTCACCTTTAAATCAGTTCTTATTTGTGTTTGAGTCACAGCCCCTTTAAACTTGTGTCCTCTGTTTGTGTTCAACATTAACCGACCTCCTAATGAGAAAGGTCATATCTCTGATTTGGTCAAGTGGAACTGAGAGTGAAGGTGTGCACTGTCCTGAAATGATCCGTGATGTGCTGACGTCTGCACATTCAGGTGTGGTTGAAAAGTGACACACACACACACATAAACACACCTGCGTTTAATCCTGCAGGCCCCGCCCTGAGGATGTGACTGGATCAAGTATTTAAACATTCCTTAACGATGCACACACAGACTCTAATGAGCCGTGAAGTCCAAACTGAACCGGCTCGAAGACAAATAAAGAGAGAGAGACGCCTAAATAACTCTTAATTAACCCGATTTATTCACAAAAACATCCATTAAATTACACACAGAAGAGGTGTGGATGTCAGCAGAGTCAGGAGTGTTAATGTGATGAGTGTGTCGATGGAAAAGAAAGACAAAGTAACCAAACAGCTGGCAGCTTTTCTAATGACTGTGAGCATTGAGCCCAGGTGAACCTCCACCTGCTCCGGACCTGGCTTCAGCCTTTCCCCCATTTGGACACTTTGCTAATAAAGACCTGCTTCCCTCTCAGGTCTCAGAGAAGCTAACGTCTAGTACAGGTTGCCTGACACACATGGATCAGGTTCATTACTCTGAGCTGTGAGTGTAAACACACACACACACACACACACACACACACACACACACACACACACACACACACACACAGTGCCCTTAAGAAAATGTTTTAAAAATGCACCATTTCAAGCACCCACACGCGTCTGTCTCCAATGCAAAGGCCGTTAGTTTATAGTGATGGATGTTGTTGATTCTGACGGTTAAGACAGTGGATGAGGGACCAGATGTTGCATTCAGTGTTTTAATGAGAAGCAGAAAGAAAGAGTCGTGG